ACGAAAACTTACGAAGGGTCGTGCCCGGTCATCAGGCCACCATTTCCGATGAGTGAGGTATGGTTTCTCACCTATTTCTTGAGCTTTAGCTGCCTGTTGGATAGGAATTGGTTGATTTCACGTGTAGGAGAACGATTTGGAAACCTAGGTTTTGACAGATTTTTCCTAGTCCTCACGAGCGCGTAGGATTTCGCGGATCTTAATTCGGATATCGTTTGAACCCCGAACGGATCTCGCCTACTGTGCGATTTCCGGGTTCACTATGTTTGAACCGTTGGATCGTAGTTAATTCCAAGTATGTTAATCTAGACTTTCCCAGGATCGTATCGTATTTGACGGATCGTAAAACGGAGACCCGGATACTCCAAAAATGTCAGCCCTAGAGTGAGGTTTACAGTAAAACAAACCAGTTACAGGTCCGGAACAAAGGAAAGAACTACGTGTGGCTTGATCCCTCAGTAAGGGTACGTAGGCAGCCTACAGTTATTTAGGCATAGCCACGAGTTAGGGGCTCAGGGTTTATGTTATTGTTTTCAGGGTATTTTCGTCTTTTACGATCCACAGTTATCAGGTGTCAATTTAAAACGGGATTCGGCCCGGATTTCAAAGTGGAATTTGGGTCGGGTCGTTTCAATTGGTATCAGAGCAGTAGGTTAACTTCCTGTAGACACAGCACTACTTGTGCATCCTTTTTTGAGAATTGTTGGACAGTTGCTTGGTTATTTTATTTCATTGGAGTGGGTGAGTAAACAGACACCTAGAAAGATTTGAGAATTTGTTGAGGTTTTCATATAAAAATCATGTTATACATGTTATACATGTTTTTTTTGTATATACATACATGTGTCGAGAACTGAGGGTTAGCAAGATGAGTATTTTATTATCTGTTTTTGTTTTATCATCTATTTATATTTGTTCATATAATAAATTTAATATTTGAATGACATGCTAAGCAAAAAGCAATGTGGTTAACCAGCTAGCTAAGTAGTTGGTGCATATATTCAGGAGTTGAAAAGGAAGAAATTTAATTTTTGGTTTCCATCAGATTTTGGTACATATAAATATATTTCTTTAATTTTTGGTTTCCATCAGATTTTGGTACATATAAATATATTTCTATATTGTTGCATATATGAATATCTTTTAAGTTCAGTTGAAAACCAAGTTATCGAAAGTTTGTGTAAATAGCAGATTATGGTTTTCAAACCCACCGTGAGGGTACCCCCCAGTTGCCTTGAGACAGTTATTTTGCTCCACGAGTTCGGGGACACCTGAACCGTGTGATGCCAGTATACAGTCAGTTATTTTGCCCCACGAGTTCGGGGACGCCTGACCGTGTGGTGCCAGGTTGCGGCTCGGATTGAGAGGTTGTCTCCGAGACCTGCCAGTTTGCGGATCAGGCTGACTACAGTCCCCTGAGTCCTGCCAGTTGCGGCT